AGGAAAGGCAGACAGACACGAGGATGGGAGACACCTGCTTCAATGCAAGCCCGAAGTGCCCAGACTGTTAAAACTGGGAACCAGTGGGCTTGGCAGTCCATTTGCTAAGCTCCAGTTGATGTGTGGTTGGGTGATATTGAGCTGCAGATGGAGTGATGGAGGCATGTGGCTGCATCTGTTCAGAACAAGGACACCAAGATGGTTCAAGTAGCATGGTTCCCAAGGCGCTGGCGGGATCACTTCCCAACCTCTGCTCTACTGTAACATTGTGTGAGGTGGTCCTCTTAGAAGACATCTGTCAACATTTAGATATAGTTATGGAACAATGGAGTCACATCTCCTCAGCTCAGGTGCCTGAGCCAAAGCCCTTCCAAGCAGGATCACTCCATACGTCTCAACAGCTAGTATCTGGCCAGAATTGTATCCTGGCATTACCGGTGTCACAGACTCTGAGCACACTGGGCCCCATAGCAACCACACAGGCCCTGGAGTAGATTTACCAGGTGAATCTTGCTGCTGTCAGGGCCAACTAAACAAACACAAAGCTCACCAGCACTAGGCTGCCTTGGTGTTTGGGATCGACAGACAAGAGGTTGAACTTGGAATGGAGATTCTAGACTCTGTAGATGGAGTCCCCATGAAGACTACAGCCATCTGTTGATATATTTTATGAAATTTCTAGTCTAGTCTTTTCTTATTGGGCTATTATCTGCTTGTTGTTGATGTACAAACATTCTTCATATAAGTCGGACATTCTATAGATTGTAGATCTTTATCTGGTGTGTGCATTATAGACTCTTTATTAGACCGAGAGTTTCTTTTTCAAATTCAGAGTGATGTTTTCTGAAGGGCGACATTTCAAATACAGTATTGATGGGTACCAAATTCTCATTGTTCTTTTAAAATACTCTGCTTTCTATGGCCTATAAAATTTTTATCTACCCAAAGGCTTAATAATTTTATCTGTTACTTTTAGTTCTGTGATACATATTGAATGAGGGAAGGGCTCTGGGTTTGTTCTGTCTTCATGTTCTTTTACACTTTTACCCAATACTATTTTTAGACTCCTTTTTGTTAATTTTAATTGTGTGTGTGTGGTGTGCGCAGGTGTGTTGGTATGTGCACATGAGTGCAGGTGCTCTTGGATGCCAAAGGTGTTAGATCTCCTAATGCTTGAGCTACAGACCCTTGTGAATCTCCTGAACTAGTCTGGAAACTGAATTCAGATTCTCTGGAGGAGCAGCAAGTGCTTTTAACTTCTGAGTCACCTCTTCAGCCCTGTCCAATATTTGTGTGTGTGTGTGTGTGTGTGTGTGTGTGTGTGTGTGTGTGTGTGTGTTTGTGTGTGTGTGTGTACTTGTCTTGTTTTGGAGTGATGTCAGTACTCTTTAGCCCAAGCTGGCCTTGAACTTGCAGGAATCTCACTTCTGCCTCCCAAGGCATGAACCACCGTGCTCTGTTATCCAACAAGATTCGTTCAGTTTGTTGAAAGGGTTCTTTTTCAGTAGGGCTGTCCTGTCTCGACTATGTTTGCCCTTTGCCCTTGCAGAATGTATTTGATAATTAACTTATCATGGTCTATTAAGAACAATCTCTTGATTATTTTGATTGCATTAGAATTCTGCATATATTTGGGAAGAATTGGTAAATTTAATCCATTACATTCCTATCCATAAAAGCAGCCCATTTCTCCATTTCTAAGTGCTTTTTAAATGTCTCAATAAAGTTATACAATTTTCTCCATGATGAAATTACACATTTTTTTTGCTAGTTTACTCTTATGGACCTCATCCTTTTTGTGGCTATTGTAAATACTACGTATTTTAAATTATGTCTTCCATTTATTGCATACATTATGGAAATGCAAATAACTTTCATATATTGATTTAAAAAACTTGCCAAATCCTATTTTTATTCTTTCAGCATCCACTGTAGAAATCCCAACATGAATATTTAATTTGGCAAAGTTAAATTTTAATAAGTATCTTTACTTTCCCTCCAAATTTACATGCTATTTTGGTCAAGTACTTTGGTTTTCGCTTAATTTTTAGCCCTACAAAGTGTTTCTTCATTATTGCTGCTTGACAGGGCTGGATGGCATTCTCTCACCGCTCCCTCTTTGTGCCAGCATTTCTGACCTTCCTCCTGGGGGCACTCTCTCTCTTCTCCCATCCTCTGAACCTCACCTTGACTGGCTTCTGGGGTCTCTTACTTTCCCCCATGCCTTTATTTGCCCCTTACTTTTTCTATTAGTTACTTTTTTGTTGCTTTGACCAAATACAAGACAAGAAGCGACGTAAAACAAGAAGCAAGGGCTTCTTTTGACCCACAGTTTGAGGCTACAGTCCCTCATAGAGCGAAGGTCCAGCAGCAGGCAGCTCTTCAGGGGCAGGAGTGTGTAGCTTGGACTCCTCACCTCACATCTTGGTGGGACAGGAAACAGAAAGCAGAAAACCTTTAAGCCAACCCCGGAGACTTACTTCTTCCCACAAAGCTCCACCTCCTAAGGGTCCTATAACCTCCCAAAGAAACGGCACCAGAGCCAAGGAACAGTTCACACACTGTGCCTGGAGAGGCATCTCCCATTCCACCCACATACTGACCCCTGTCTCCCAGCCTCTCCTCCATCACTCATCCTTCAGGAGCTCCCATTTGCTGCATGCTCACACCGCTTACTCTTTCCTCTGAACTTCTCACCCTCACTTCCAGGATCATAAGCGCTCCCTGGGAAGGAGAGAATTCTGGGTAAGTACTTCCTATTCCTCTTCAAGTTCCTAAGCTCTTCAACTTAGTTTGAGTTCTTTATTTGCTCGTGATTTTATTAACATATATTAATTAATAATGACAAGCCTCCTACATTGTGATACATAGATCTGATCTGATTTATAGCTATATATTCTCTAATTTTGTTTTGTCTTCTTACTTAGTATGCGTGTGTGTTTTATGTAGGTGTGTGCACATGTGTGTATGTATAGGTCAGAGGTCAACACTGTCTTCGTCTACTGCTGTCCACCTTGCTTTCTGAGACAGAATCTCTCACTGACCCTAGAGTTTCAGCTGGACTGATTGGCCTGTGAGCCTCCAGGATCTGCCTATCTTCGTCTCCGCAGAACTGGGGTTGCACAAGTGTGCCTCCATGCCTAGCTTTAATGTGGAGTCTAGGGATCTAAACTTGGTCTCCATGCATGCATGACAAGCACTTGACCTGCGGAGTGCCCGCCCAGACTCTCTTATTCATTTTTTTAAAAATCCACACACATTGTGTTTTGAACCTCACTTCCATTTGTGAAAAGTTCTTTAAATTAATTTACAAATTCACCTAGAAATTTTTTAAATAATTTTTCATTTTCAGCCTCAAGTTTATGATGTCAGTTTAAAATATTTTTAAAACATTCATGGCAGAGCCCTGTAACACATTTAAATTTTATTTTAATGTATCCCACACACAGATTTCATATCCAATGCCCTATATTTCCCATGTTAGCTGTCTCTGGGGGATTCGATCTCCTTTTCTCAATGTTTCCCTCCCATCTATCACAAAGCTTCCTCCCTCAGGTACCTTGTTCTGAGGTACACCTCTGATCCGTCTGTGTGGCAGCTCCTTGGGGACTAGATTTAGGCTGCATCTTCCAGAGATTTTTTTATCCTGTGGTAGGGTTGTATCAAGGGCCTCTGTGGATGGTCAGGGCTGAATCTTTGGCAAGAGGCTCTCTTCTCCTGAACTGGAGGGAGGGCTGAACAGTTGGGTTCTCCATGGCATTTTGGGGGCAAGTAGACTTGTTCCTCAAGGATCCTCAGGGTTGAATGGACAGACTTCCCAAGAGACATTGGGGCACCATGCATAGGTTCCTTGAGGACCTCTGTACTGAAGGCCAGACTTTAGGCGGTCTTCTGGGACAGAGCACTGTCACTTTCTGGGGACCCCAATTCTACTTGGGATTCTCTTGGGCGTCCATTCATTCTTGATTCCTATAAGGAGACAATAGCTTTGGTCAGTTCTCCATAAGCCGATGATAATCCCCATAAAGCAAGGAGTTCAACTTGACCGTTTGTTTCCATTTGGGTTTCCCTGCCATTTTCAAACTCACGGAGTCTTCCCATTCTGGGGACACATTTCAGTTCTATCCCTAAAAAATTTGCGGCTCTCTCTCTCTCTCTCTCTCTCTCTCTCTCCATATATGTGTGTGTGTGTATGTATATATATGTATATATATTCCATACTAGGAGGTTTTTTGTTAAGACATAGAGTCACAAGGACACTCCCTTGTCCCCAGTAAGGAGCCCAGGAGTACTCAGGTCATCAAGCCAGCATCTCAGCACAGTTCCCAGTCCAGTTGTCTTGTCCCTAACTTTGTCTTCAGAGTCATCACACAGGTGAGCTACTGTCCTTGCAGCAGGTACCTGGACACTCTACTACCAGAATGAGAACGACAATTCATCACCAAAAGGGTATGGGGTGACCAAGCTGAGTCTTAAACACATGAAGAAGTGAACCTGGGGACAAGTGCTGGAGAAAATGCCTTGGATAAAGTCTTATCCCTCATGGCAGGAGAGACAGTTCGGCAGTTAAGAGCACTGGCTGTTCTTCTAGAGGACCCGAGTTCAATTCCTAGCACCCACATGGCAGCTTCCAGGACACCTCCGCACCAACACACATAAAATAAATTTAAAATAAGAAGCCTTATTCCTTTCTTTGTCCTGAGGAAGTCAGGTGAGAAGCAGGCACCCTGATCTGTGTAGTGAGGGGCTGTATACAAGAAGGGAGGGGCACCAGGGAACCACAAAGACCTTGCAGAGGACCCTCAGAGTATCACTGTCCTCCACAGACTCCCCCCTGCAGTAGCTTGGCAGGCTGTATCTAGACCGCCCCCCCCCCAATTTACCCAGTGTGAACTCATCCATAGATTAAGGCACTGACAACCTTAGTACTTTTGTAACCCCATCACATCTGTAATTAAGTCTTCAACTCATGAGCCTCAGAGGGTGGGGGGTGGGGTGCGATGACTCTTCATATCAAAGCAAAACTGCCCCAGATCTTTGTCCAGCTCCAGGCCTTGGCCAACGCTTCCAACCTCCCCATGTCCCATCATTACCTGGTGGGACGAGCCAGAGATGGTCATGGGTGAATTAGGAAGACACTGTGGCTGCCTCCAGGATTGCATTACTTTTAAAACTCAAGAAACCCCATTGCCCCGTGTGGTGTAGAAGGCTACTTCTGGCCGGTCTGGAGGGTCTTCTGCTGTTGTTTTTCTGTGCTTAGCTCAAAGGTCTGGAGGGGAGCTTTGATAACTCCAGGGCTTCCATGAGCACCTGCTCTTTTGTCACCAGATTTGATTGACAGGGTGAGGCTGTCACTTTTCAGGAGGAGCTCAGAGTCACATTCATCTCTGCAGAGGTGGAGTGGCCAGAGAGAAAGGCAGGAGGATGGAAGCCTCTGTTGTGAAACTGATGTCCATTGATCGCCTCTCAGCACTCTGGCTGGCTGTGGTGGCTGGATCCTTTTTTGAGACCATGATCTTTCTTTCCAAAACCAGCCTATTCATCTGTACTTGCCCTTTTCCTTGCTGATAGATGATGGCGGTGGATAGAACCCTGACACTGGACACTGGAGAGGCATCAGACGCCCAGGCCCGCCTCACAAGGAAGCAGCACAGGAGAAGTTGGTCTTAGAGCTCTTAAAGTCCTCTGTCCAGGGTGACTGGAGCCCCTGTGGTTCTTCCTGTCCCTCAGACAGGCACAGAGCAGCACAGGAGATCCTGAGTCCCAGGAGGGGCTTAGATCTGCACCATGGATCTACATGTGGCTATGAGAAAGGAATTATCTTTAGAAATGAGGGACCTGTGTTTCTTCATGCCTTGCTCTCTCCTCTTTGGGGGCGCTGCCTTCTCCAGAAGCTACTTTTGAGTACATTTCATTCATTCATTCATTCATTCATTCATTCATTCATTCATTTTTTCCCTGACTCGCTTAAGGATAACTTCACTTTTGAGGGCCTTAGAGCTAGCCGTGGTTGAACTGCCACCTACTTGGCCATGGGCTCCAGACTTGTGGTAGAACTGCCAGTGTTTGTGTGGGCAGGGACAGGGACTTCCCGTGTGGGTTTGATGTGGTCAGGATCACAGGAGGACACTACTCCTCAGCCACTGGCAGATCTGTCCTCTGACACCTCTCAAGTCATGTGGCTGCCTGATAGGTTTTGTTTTATTTTGAAATGGGGTTCGGAAAGTTTTGCATGTTTGCATGTGGTGCCCACAACAGTCTCTTGGCTCCTGCATTCCAGGAGTCAGAACCAGGCTTGGGGCATAGACATGAGCAAAGGAGTCACAGAGCTGGGCTGTGCCAGGGGACAGGGAGACTATTAAGATGAAATGCTGTCTTTCCTCCGACCCCCAGATTTCACGAAGCTCAACTCTTGTAAGAATTCCTGTAAATGTTCCTCATTTTCCTTTCGTTAGAGACCTGCTTTTTATCTGGGGAAACTAAGTCTACAGAGATCACAGAACTTGCCCAGAACTAACCGGCAGCCCACAGCAAAGCGGGGCCCAGAACACGCTCCGCTGACATTGCGGTAAGCCTGGTAATCAGTGACTGATGAAGTCTCTCACCTAGGAGTGAGACACCTGAGACCCAGCAATGTCAGGGACCTGGTTCTGGAAGAGGAAAGCAAGAAGGAAGGACAGAGGAAGGGAGCAGGCCCCTCTACCTTGCTCATGTTCTCAGAGGTGAGTTGAGAAGCATTACCCAACCATTTGAAGACATTTCCTGAGAGAGTGTCCTGGGGAGAGTCTGCCTCTCTGATCATCACCCAAGCTCTCTCTGAATTCCTAGCAGTCCCCAAACTGTTTGGATGGCTTAGCTGTCCCAACAAGGTCCTTATGAAAGCCTCAATGGTCAAGACCATGGTATGATGTATGAATTTATATAGCCCCTTCAGTAGTGGAAATTCTTGTCCTGTCTAATTCTGACCATGGGGGAAAGGGTGGAAGCCAGGTCCCCAAAGGGCCGGTGCTGAGGGGAGACTGTTTTAATGTATTTACTAATGAGTTGGAAGAGCCAGAGAAAAGGGCTAAATGGTAGAAGCTGCTGAATGTACAGATTTATTTCTGTTAAATGCTTAGGGAAGAAAAATACTGTCTTTTCTGTGATCATTTTCTTCCTTGCCAGACAGTTTTATCTAGTGAAAAATATTAAGACAGTCTTCAGTGCAGAGACCACACTTCGTCCCCTTGTTTGTGTCTGAGGAAGTACAGCACACTTTGGAGAGTTGAGAATGTGGATTGAAGGGTTATGGTGGCTAATTCGGAGGTGATGTCTCTAGAATGCACACTGCTCTGAGTTCAGGTTCAGTGAGAGTGTTCCCCTGGATGGGACTCTTTCAAAGAGGAGAGGTCAAGAATTAATGTGATTTTCAGTTCCTAGATATTTCTATCACCCCTGAGGTGCCCCCAGAGCCTTGAGCCTTGGGCTTCCTTCCCTCAGGTTATGGGTCCCTGGATCTAAATTTCAGTTGTGAAAATCATCAGCTCTAGGGTCTGGGGCACACTGCAGGTTTTTATTTTCCTCAGTTTCTTAATTTTTGTAATTAAAAAACACTTTTATTTACTTTGTGTGTGTGTGCAGGCCAGGGAGGAGGTATGCATTCCACAGTCTGCATTGATGTCTCAGGACTTTTGAGAGTCGGTTCTCTCCTTCAACCACTCAAGGCAGAGGCTAGAAGAGGGCAGATCTGTTTGGGGAGCTGACCTGCTCAGACACAGCAGCCCCAAAAGCAAGAGGAGTCCTAGGCAGAGATTGTTGGTGTTTGGGGCTCTGTTCTCTTTGCCAGCTGTAGGCAGACTTACCCATGGTGCCCAGTCCTCACTGGGGTATGTGCTCAATGTGGATGGACAAACTCCTGCAGACTTTGTGGTAATGTGCAGAACTCACAGGCTTCTGTACTACGTGCAAATAAGATTTAATTATGCATAGTAGAAACTGAACTAATGTTCTTTATTAGAAATGCACTTGATTATAAGATGCAAAGTGTCAAGATGCAACAAACTAGATAAGCACTGTTCATTTCTCTGTTTTCACATTGTGCATAGAAAGATGCCAGTAGAATGTTGTTGGGCCAGAGTTATGGCTAGGCACTTAATAGTGTTTGCCACCAAGCCTGGCAATCTGAGCTCAATTCTCTGAATCAACATATAGGAGAAAACCAACACCAACTCTTGCAAGTTGTCTTCTGACACCTGCATGCATCAATGTTACATAAACACATACACACACACACACACACAACACATTTTTTTTTAAAAATATTAAAAAACCAGGAAAATATGCTATAGAGGGAAGGTCATCAAATGTTAGCACTGTTTTTCCCTGAATGTGTTGATGCTGTGTTTTTTTGTATTTTCAAGGTATCTGTATTGACACACATATAAAACAACAACAACACCTCTTTTCTAAATGCAGCCTGGCCTGTACAGGTTGCATCCTATTTCCCTCTGTGTTAGAGAGCATCACACACCACCACTGAACCCCCAAACGGCTGCCCTCTCTCCACCATACTGAATCTGTGCATCACGGGACTTCTGTGACATCCATGAGTACCGACAGCTGTCACTCTCAATTCCAGCCCCAGCCAGGACCTTGCTCCTGAACTCCAACAGTGACAAAGACAGATCTTCTCGGTGGCCCGGGAGCCTTCAGAGTTGACTCTGAAAGGACAAAGCTGGGGAGACCTCTACTTGTTTCTCTTCATGCTTCAGGGGCTCGGTGTCAAACTGTCAACCCTCTTCCCTCCAGCATCCGCCAACGCCCAAGTGGTAGCTTGCTTGCTTGGCTTTCATCCAGGACTCCGCTGTGTCACCACAGTGAGTTTCTAGTGGGGGAGGACCTGATAGGATCCCTTGGAGAGACAGCTTGGAGGGTGGGCAGAAAACTGTTGAGGGAAGCCTGGGCCCTGGACCTCCCTCAGCTTCCCCTGACAGCTATTTTAACTCTGCAGGCCTACAAGGAAATGCTTGCATTTTTCCTACTTTTTAAAAACCCATCTCAATCTTACTTAGTAAAACAAAATAAACTTTAAAAGAACACCTTCTCCAGGTTGCAGAAATCTCATTCCCCTAGCCCCCTATTAATTCTTCCTGAAAGGTGATATGCAACTCAGAACTCATTAGCATCTGAGAATAATTAGCCAGTATCTTCCTTCTGTAGCTGGTCTGCTTACACAGTGTTCTGTCTCACCTTAGCAGGAACTATTTGTTGATTTTGACTAATATAAAGGACAGATTTTGGTAATCCTTTCTGATTTGTGATACTTAGGATGGCTGCATAGAACCCTTTATAAAGTGAACTTTCCGCTGGGCAGTGGTGGCACGCGCCTTTAATCCCAGGACTTGGGAGGTAGGAGCAGGCGGATCTCTGTGAGTTTGAGGCCAGCCTGGTCTACACGAACCAGTTCCAGGACAGGCTCCAAAGTCACAGAGAAACTCTGTCTTGAAAAACCAAAAGAAGGAAAAAAACAAAGAACAAAACAAAAAAACCAAAACTTTCCACTGAATTTTGTAGGGAGATGAAAGGCATACATTCAATGTGTGCCAATCTTTGCCCCATGTAGGTGGATCCCTTTAAAGTGCTGACCAGTAAGTAGACATGTCCACCGCACCCCACATCTCCTAGGTGGGCAGCTTCAAATCAAAGAGGACTGGTCTCCTCACTTCCTACCCTCAGGTGATGCTGCCTGGCTTGATGGTAGCATCCTCCTCTATGACCTTTGCAGATTCTGTCTCTTTGACACACAAGTAACCCTCACGGCAATGGTCATTGGTAGATCCTGCTTAAATAACCGGGAAGCCAGGGTGCCCAAGAGGAGATCCTCTCACATACACAGTGGTATAAAGTTGTTGCTGGATTATACGGGGGTTGAGGCAAGCCTGTGCTGGAGCCATTGAAACAAGAATCTGAAGGAGGAATTAAGCTCTTATAGCAATTAACCAGTGGGAGTTGTCTTTCCTATGTTACCCAGACTCCAGCACAGAGCCTGGTGCAGAAACGTGGCTCCAAGCATGGAGATGCTTTGGTGGAGTTAAGCCTGTGCAGGTGATAGCAAAAGTGTGTGGCCATTTGGAGGCTCTTTGACTGCCTTCTCTTTAAAGTCCGGGAGTGTCCAAGGTCTCAAGGCCCTTTGAGCACCAAACAGCCCAGAGAAAGACACAACTTTTTCTTAAGTTGACTAGTATAAGCACTGTGTGAGAAGGGGTGAGGGAATCCCCCAGATTGTGGAGTATCCACAGATTTGGGTGACGCCCTTTCTTCATTCTAGGAGCTAGAGGTGCCACAGGTATTAAGTTTGGCTTTACTGAGAGTAGAAACAACAAATATAGGGCTGCTAGGTGTCTTCTGTTTCTCCAGATCATACCAGCACGAAGTGAATAAAGCCTGCTCTGCTTCTCTAAGCACAGCTGGGGGGGGGGCTGTTAGTCTGCCTAGCATCCCGTACAACACCTCAGTTTGACTGTGAGCCCAGAGACCAAAATGGCCACACAGCATCACTTGTGTGCACGAGGAGACATGAGAGCGGGCTCCAGTGGATGATACCGGTGCTCTAATCTGCAAAGCTTTGGGGTTGCGTGTGGGAAATAATCTTGTCAGTAGGTTGGCATCAAAGAAAGAGAGAAACCCGCTAATTGTAAGTGGTTCGGGTGGAGGAAAGTGGTGCCAGGTATGTAAATCAGCATATGTTGAGATCTAAAAGAAATCATGCCAGGCCAGGAGGAAGTTAGGCAAACCAAGAGGATGAGGAAGAAACCCAGAAACTGATCAGAAGTACTTTGGTGCTTCTGTTTCCACCAGGAGGGGCTGCTAAGGAGGTGAGGAATGTTGAGTAGCCCCTGACCTAGGAGTGAGTGCCTTTGGGTGTAGCTGGGTGTGCTGCACTCCCACTCAGGTCAGGTTGGCTTCCTAGGCAAGCTCTTTACTGTGCAGATCCTTCTTGGTACTTGAAGTTTGGCCAAGTGCTTCTAAGCTGGGCTGGATCTTACAGATGGATGCCAAGGGTTTAGGGTTCATCAGTATGTGGAAATCTGCGCCCCGCTGTCTGCACAGCCCAGGGCTGGACTGGAGCTGGAATTCGCTACCAAGTAATGTCAGAGAATCTCAAGCAGGACACCTGGTTTCCGACCAGTTCCCTGCTCAAGCTGGGTCAGCACAGGGACTAGGACCAGCGCCGCCTGGCGGATACTGCGTGTGACCAGTGCGGAGCCAGGCTCCTTCAGCAGGCATGGGCTGAGAGGGAGCAAGATGCTCCTTGATTTCTGCGTGCAGCGGCCGAGCAGCTTGTGGCGAAGCATGAAGGAGCTCAGTCTTGTGCCTGGAGGGATTAAAGAGACTTTACCGAGATCCAGTCTTCTAGATATGGAGACATCTTGTGCAAGGACCCCATGACCACTTGTCTTGAGCATTGCACCAGAGTGAGGGAAGAGGTTGGGGGTCCCAGGGTTAAAGCAGAGGCAGAGGAGGGCGCTGAAGCCAGCAGATATCAGGCGGGAAGATCGTTAGACTCAGTACCAAAAATTCGGATTTCAGTGCACTGTGACCCTTTAGGGACCTAGGAAAATATTTTCCATATTTAACTAAGAGAGAAAGAGACCCGTGTCTAGAAGGGTCCCGGGCCCACCTGGCGTCAGCGTCTGCAGTCTGGTATTCTCTCTGGGCCCTGCGCCTTAGACTCACTTTAAACCAGGTAGATCGCACCGGCTCCCCTAGCTCCGCGGGTGGCGGACCTGCCCGCTCTGGCGTCTCCACCTCGGCTTCATCTCGCCGTTAGAACCGCAGCTCTGAGCCTGGAGCCCTTGGCCCCGTTGTGCGCACCTTCAGCTAGAACTATAGGCTACAAGCAGCGACAACCGAGTGGGCTGGGGACTGCAGTAGAGGAATCAGCCGGCCGGGTTGGGCGCGCCCCTCCGTGCGGCGTGGTGTCACCGCCTCGGGGGTCCTGGGCTGGGGGCGGGGACTGGGGCCCCCGCTGGGCCC